AGGTACAATTTATGGCAGCCAGAAAATTAAAGAAATCATCTTTCAAAAGAAGTAACAGGAGAGTAACACTTCTGCCTATTCAAAACTTTGCATTTGAAGCATTATAAGAAAGAGCGCAAAATTATCTTTCCTCCACTAAGTTTTTTTAAATGTAAAGTGAGACTTTACATAGTGCAGAAAGCAGGATGTTAATCCAAAAGCAGAACTTTGCAGAAGCCACATTTAACTGAGTAATTTTCACACTGTTCTTATTTTTATATCAAAAGCTGACAAAATATGTTGTCAACCTGATAACCATAAAAAGCTATACCTCACATAAATCATTCTATTCACATGCTTTCTTTATTATGAGCAAACTAAATAAGCAATTAAAATAATCTAAGAACTTCCTTGTTTTTCTCTCCATACAGATTCTGAAATTAGTGGTGGGCATCTGTTCTGTCTACACCCTGGTGCTCACTTTAAAGCTTAAAACTTGCCATTGCTGAAGACAAGTTTTTCAAAATACATTTCAGACCAAGCACTCCCTGCTAGACTGAAATATGGTCACCAGCAAAGGCCCAAACCACTAAGCTGCAGTGGCATTTTCATTTATCTATTGAGCTACCCTCACCAAAGAGCACGCACAGTCTCAACCCGTCCTATTTGTATTGCAAAAATCTTAGCATTTTAGCAAAAGAATGTCTCACACAACAAAAACAGCTATTTGCCCTGGAAACTGAAGTCTACTTGCTACCGAAGTAGCAGGAGACAAAGCTGCTTAACATCCTTCCACCAACAGGCTACAACTGGGGCTGGCAAGGCCCAAACAAGCAGATGAGAGGCACTAAGGATCACATCCATTATTACATCTGTGGCCTTCTTGAAACACCTGAACGGGAACATGTGAGATACTAAGACCTCTTATTTAGAAGCGAGACTGTGACTACTTATGTCATTATACAGATATCAACTGCAAATACTTTATCATTCCTAGAGATTAAAGGGTCTATATCCCATTGTCAGTGCTCCCCGTCAGCCAGTCTCCTGTGGGTATTTCATTTAGTGGTAAGACATTCTATTACACTCAAGCATGACAGTCCTCATAAGATACATACTGTGTGTAGGAGGAGCTGCTACACTTCTGCAAGTGAGCAGTTACTAGCACAAAATATTCTTGCCACCACAAAAGAGACAAACGCCTTTGAATTTCACAGGCTGTCTGCAAACAACAGCAGATGGAGGAAGAGGGAGCTATTTGGGATAAAGTGACATTTATTTGTCCCATCAAAATCAAGGCTGTTCAACTGCATTGCCCTTCTTCCCTCATGTTGAGCAGGACAGCGCTGGCTGCCTGCCAAAGGAACAACTGAACACAAACCTTGAGGATCTTGACCCTTTGCTCCCAAAACACACCTCTACCATCACTGCATGTAGGAGCTGCCAGACGTACTTTCAAACTAAGGTTAAATGCATTCCCACATGTTGGAAGCCTTAGTGATAAAAGCCTATTTCTCAAAGCATTGCTCTTACAGCCATCCTAGGGAATACACAGCATTTCTGCAAGCTGCACAGCCTCGAGGGAGGCACCCATCAGGCCAACTGATATTTCGCTATTTAGTTATTAGTTTATCACTGGATGATAAATAAGGTGGTCTTGCATCTCATTTACAGCACATAGTCACATGAGCATATCACAGCTGGGGAGAGAAAGCAGGACAACACGCTTTTTCCTATTTTCAGAGAGCTTGACTTGGAAGCTCTGAAATTCTCCCACAATATTTCTCCAGACACAATATATGCCTACATATATCTTAGTTATTTCTAAAAAAGATAGTGAAAACCACATCAAGTGGAAACTCACTGAAACCTGGGCTAATAAAGCATAAATATCACATATTTGCCACTTGAGCTGAAGACCTGGCAGCAGCAATGGTCTGGCTTGGCTTGTTTCCAAGCACCAAACGGCATTGCAGTGACCATAGTCTCCTCTACCTGCTTCTTTTAAACTCCATGTACGCCGCCATGGTTGAGCTAGTAGATCCTAATCAGTCTCTTTCACTCACTCCCAAACTTCAGGTTTAGCACCAGGCTACAGAATACAGGCTTAGGCTACAAAATAAGCAGGTTTCTCTGCTCTTGTTCCCCAAATTTGTAACCCAGTCTCAACAATCTTCCCCAACATTAATTCTCTGTCCAATTAGTCTTACCGTTCTCCTGGCCCTGTGTGCTCTTCAGATACATTCTCCCATCCCCATCATGTTTTTCGCTCTGCCTGCTGTTTCCTAACGCCAGCATGGATCCAGCTTCCCAGCTCCCTGACCCCAAGCTAGTGGCCTTGTCTCGTAGGACCCGGTCAGGAGTTCCCATTTACCCCACCCAGACCCTGCCTTTCTTGCCTGTATACTTGGTCCCGGCAATTTCCTCTCTTTTTCCTCCCAGGGAAGGAGAAACAAATGAAAACGCAGGTTGAAAAAAAATCCTCTACCAGTATTTTGAATAAATACTTCTTTGTACCAGCTTTCTTTCTCCTGCCAACCCATACCCTTGCTGTTATGCCCAGATCTACCTCATCCGAAAGCAGCCCTGAATTGTAACTGCATGCACAGTCCTGTTGAATTTCACACAGCTCTTGCATACTGAAACACCCCCAATGCAGCCAAGCTCAATTTTCTTCCTTGAAAAATCGAGCAATAATAAACCAGGTCTTAATAGCTCACTTGGGCATAACACTGTTTTTCCACCATTTCAAATGTGGAAGGAAAGTATTTGGAAAATTTCGACCAATGCATTTCAAGCTGAGGCAGGCAACCAGCACAACATCTTGGTTCAAACCATGGAAGTCTGGTAGTACTACACACAATGAGAGCCGCTTTTTTATTTCCCATCATAAAGAAACTTTAAACCCTTATGAAATAAACTTTAGTTAAGTTTTAGAAGTGAGTAATACAAAGTTATTTTAGATATAAGAAAGGTCACACTTAAAAAAATAAGATTATGTATTAAAAAATTACAGAAACCAACAACCAGCAAGATATTTTACCGTTAAAAATATAAACAATACTGATTTCAAGCTCCCTTCAGTACCAAAGGTGTCCATCTGGCTTAATTTAAGAAGCAAATATTTATGGTCCTCTAAATATTTTCACTGATTTTAAGATAAAATAACAGCTATCCAACTGGTATCCAAAAATCCCAACAAATGCCCACCAAGATACACCAAGAAAATAGACTTTTTTCTCTAGTTTTACTAGTGGTATATTTCATACAATTACTCCACAGCACAAGTTTGGGTCAAAGTAACTCCAAAACAGTCCAACAAAATCAGAGTGGGAAGGATATATTTGTAGCTCGGAATTCTTCCCATTCATCTCTTTTTTTCCATCCCTCACAGTTAAGAATCCTGGGTTTTTTCCTTACTTTTAAACTAAGATCTCACTTAACTTTGAGGCTGAGAAGGCTGTAAAGATAACAAATATTTTCCAGTCCTAATGCCAAACCTCCTCTTCCATTTTGTGTTTAAAGTAACATGAAGATCCTTATATCCTGCAATGAACATGAGTTGTCCCTCACTGTCAGGATTCATCAGCGCTGGAACCATAACCCTTCCCTGCCACAGCACTTACTCCACACACAATGGAACAGAGGGTTGGGTTTTCTGAAACCTAAAAGTTTCAAAAATGGCAGAGCTACAGAAGTATGGCTGATACAAATCATACCACAGTAAAAATGCACACTATACAGCCAACTGAGTATCGCTAAGAAATACCCACTTGATCACTGAACAGATTTCAACTTCATGTATATGACATTTTGAAGAACTACTAAAATATGACTGATCACATTTCTTGGCTGATAACCAAAGGCGAATATACAAAATTAATTGCAAAGACGTTTGTTATTTGCCCAAAAACGAATTACCAATATTTGCTCTAAAAAGTGAAATTAATTTGATTCTTTTCCTTCTAACATCCATGAAAAAGACTGCCCTCTACTTTTTTCCTAAACCAGCTTCGCTTCTACTACGTCTAAAGAGCAAAAGAAAATTCTGCCCTACATTACAGGAACACGGGTATGAGGAAGGTTGTATTTTCAGATTTTACATTGCTGAGGTATTTCTTCTGAAAAACCTTTCGGGACAATTTCAACAGGAATTTGACTGTGTGATGGATTAATTTCCCACACTACACGTGAAACAAACTCTCAGGTTCAACTAGAGCTATTACTTACGGACACAATATGTGTTTTTTTTTTCCCATAAAATATATAAACTTTGGTCGCTATTTTTCCGAGTTATGAGGCGCTTGTCTATTATTCTGAAATACCATTATGGTTTCATTATTTTTTCCCAATTTAGTAGGAACACACTAATACTACAACTTCAACTTTTACTTATGCCAAATTCTAAATGTCTAGCTAGTACAAAGTAATGTAACAATTCTCCATTACTTATAAGTTCTTGAGGGTTTGCTGTTTGTTTATTTGTGGTGGGTTTTTTTTGTTTGTTTTGGGTTGGGTTGGGGTTTTTT